GAAATATGTCTCAGCAATAGAGAGCCCGCCTAGAATCCCCCAGTGAGGGGCTAAAGGCGAGGCTGTGGAAAAAAGGAAAATAGAAAAAAAGATCTAAAATCCTGACCTTGTCAGTTGTCTGTCTATGTGATCAGATTGTATAAACATGAGTAATTTGACATATGCAGCATGCTTAGTGAAATACATGCCACAGGAAGAGCCAGGCATTGTCTTGAGTATCATCCACTCCCTGAACTTTTGGAGGGCCTGTGGAACGCTGTGGTCTCTGTAGAGCATAAGGTAGATCATACCCTGGTGTGGGTGGAGGCAGCAGGAGGTTAAGTGTGAAGGGAAGGGCTGGAGGTGTAGCTTTGGTGGACTCTGGCCTAGCACACAAATTCTAGGCTTGATCCCTAGTGCTGGAAAAAAGCAATAAAGCATAAAGTGAGAGCTGATACCGTGAAGAAGCCCTGACGGGACTGTGGGAGACGGGCCTGGGCCTCCCTGCTCCCTGAGCCCTTTCCGTGACTTCCTGTCTTCAGACTGTATCCAGGTGGATCCTCCTGACAGACCCCCCGACATCCCCATTGAGGACTTGGATTTCTTGGATAGCAGCACCAGTTACAAGAACCTCACACTGAAATTCCACAAGTATTGCCCTTTCCTCTTGGGGCTGATTCCTGGAGGGGCTCAAGGGTCCAGCTGAGGGTGGGTGGGTGAAAGTGACAAGGGTCCAGACGTCTGGATCTGAGGCCACTTTCATGGAGTTGGTGGGGGGTGGTGAGGCTACCACACAGTGACCCGATGGGCTAGCTGCAGAGTCAGCACAGGAAAGGAGCGACTGACATCGGGCCCCTGCCCCTCACCCAAGCCTCCCCCAATAGGCTGATCAACGTCACCATCCACTTCCAGCTGAAGACAATTAACCTGCAGAGCCTCATCAACAATGAGATCCCAGACTGTTACACCTTCAGTGTCCAGGTGAGCAAACGGGTGGTCCCCCTGCCCGGGTAAGGGGCATCCGAGGAGCATTCACCCAAGGTGGTATGAGAGTGATGGGCTGGAGACTAGGACCTGGACCATCTGTCGTGGGACCTGGGGGTTGGTGCTTGGGGTTGCTCAGGCTTACTCTGCTTTTACCCCCTCAGATCACGTTTGACAATAAAGCACACAGTGGGCGAATTCCTATCCGCCTGGAGACCCAGGCCCACATCCAGGAGTGTAAACACCCCAGTGTCTCCAGACATGGTAAACTATCCTACCCTCAGACGCCCCCACCACTCCAAGAACAGTCCTGACTCTCCCAGGCATTTCCTGGGCCTCCTATAGTTCTATCCAGGGCCCCTTACCTTCCATGCCTTGCCTGTGAACCCCAGACCAGTGTTGATCAGGCACCTTGACCTGCCTGGGAGTGTCCTGAGCCCAGTCAAGGAGCTCAGGCCTGTAATCCCAACTATTTAGGAGGATGATGTAAGATGATAACAAATTCAAAGTCTGCCTGGGCTACTGGGCTACAGAGTGAGTTCAAAGGCAGCCTGGGCAATTTAAAGACCTTATCTTAAAGCAAAAGAAGATGACTGGGCATGTAGCTCAGTGATACAATGGTTGCCTAGCATGCTCAAGGCCTTAGGTTTAGTCCCCAGCACTAAATAATATATATATATATTTTTCCCCCTATACTCACAGCACCAAGATTAGGAGCTCAAGGTTGTCCTGTCTACACAGTAAATTCCAGGTTACCCTGTGCTATTCAAGACCCTATCTCAAAATAAAACAAAACAAAATGGGCTGGACATGTAGCTCAGTAACAGTAATTCCTAGCAGATATGAGGCCCTATGTTCAATTCTCAATGCTTTGCATTCTTTAAAATTAGTTTTCGTGTAATCCCAGTACTCTGGAGGCTGAATTCAAGACCAGCCTTGACTACATAGTACGTTTGAGATCAGCCTGGGATATGAGATCCTGTCTCTGAGACAAACAACAAAACAAAACAGGGTAGGAATGTATTTTAGTGGTAGAGTGTTTGGCTTAACACTGAAAAAAAAAAAAGTGTGCTCCATACCAGTGTTCATCAGGGATTTTGACACTCTCCATGCTAGGGAACCCTTAAGTGTGATAGCCATAAACCAGCTATATATACACACACACACACACCCTCCCCCCCTCCCCCAGGACTCCTTCCCTGGCCCAACCCTTAGCGCCAGTCTCTTATGGCCCCATGTGAGTTTTGATGGGACCCACCCTCCTTCCTGCAGGAGACAACAGCTTCCGGCTTCTATTTGATGTGGTGGTCATCCTCACCTGCTCCCTGTCTTTCTTGCTGTGTGCCCGCTCACTGCTACGTGGCTTCCTGCTGCAGAACGTGAGCCCCTGGTGTCACGAGCGCTGGTGCCCGCCTTGCCCAGCCCTGGGGCCATGGTGGGAGTGATGGCCTAATGGTTCTAGACAGACCCTCACGTGGGCTCCTCCCACAGGAGTTTGTTGCATTCATGTGGCGGCGGCGGGGTCGGGAAATCAGCTTGTGGGAACGTCTGGAGTTCGTTAATGGCTGGTACATCCTATTGGTTACCAGTGATGTGCTTACCATCTCGGGGACTGTCATGAAGATCGGCATCGAGGCAAAGGTATGAGTCCTGCCAGTGCCCTGCTCTCGGGGCCCTGTCTCTGTCTCCAGGCCTTTGCCTGTTTGGGGGCCACCTTCCCCCCAGGTAGAGTATGACTATGAGTTGATCCCTCTGTAGTGGGTAATCGCTCAGCCAATAACCCCAGGCTGGCCTGGAACTCATGATCCTCCTGCCTCCGCCTCCTTCAGCAAATCCTGCCGGCGTGTGCCACCACCCACTTCATCCCTCACTCTTGCCCACAGAACCTCGCAAGCTATGACGTCTGCAGCATCCTTTTGGGTACTTCCACGCTGCTCGTCTGGGTTGGTGTCATCCGCTACCTGACTTTTTTCCACAAGTACAACGTGAGTCTCCTGCCCCTGAGCCACCCCTGGGTAGAATGTGCCCCAAGCCTCCCAAACAAGCCCAAAAACGCAAAGCAGCCATTGATTCCGCCATTCTGTACCCACCACAAGCCTCCTTCTTCTTCCTGTATTTTTTATTTTTTTAAACTTTTTGAGGCAGGGTTTCTCTGTGTAGCCCTGGCTGTCCTGGAACTTGCTCCGTAGACCAGTCTGGCCTTGAACTCACAGAGACCCACTTGCCTTTGCCTCCTGAGTACTGGGATTAAAGGCGTGTGCCACCACTGCCTGGCTTTTTTTTTTTTTTAAGACAAGGTCTCATGTAACCCAGGCTGGCCTTGCTACATAGCTGAGGATAACCTTGAACTCCTGATTTTCCTGCTTTCCACCTCCCAAGTGCTGGAATGACAGCTGTATGCCATTGTTTGGTTCTATGTAGTGCCAAGGATCAAACTCAAGGCCCCATGCATACTGGGCACTCTACAACTGAGCTCCATTACCAAACCACAAATCTCTTTCTTATACCCACCTACCACAGACACACGAATCCTTGTACCTGGGCAGGACCACAGGAGCCTGTCCCTACTTGCCCATCCAGCTGAGTCCAGCTGTGGTATGTCCCAGGCTCCTCCCAGGTGGGTCCTGCCCTATCTAAACTCTCAGCAGCCCTCCTGGCCACAGTGGTGAGGTCCTCCCTGCCGTCTGAGAGCTAGCTGGGTTGTGAGCATTGCCTTCACTGTGGTCCCCTTGGCCCTCTGCAGATCCTGATTGCCACGCTGAGGGTGGCACTGCCCAGTGTCATGCGTTTCTGTTGCTGTGTGGCTGTCATCTACCTGGGCTATTGCTTCTGTGGCTGGATTGTCCTGGGACCCTACCACGTGAAGGTATGGGCTACTGGGGGGGCTGTGTTTGTGAACTGCCATCAAAGGGCCCCAGGCTCCCACCCCCCGCCCAGCCTCTGGTCTCTTAGTTGTTGACCCGATGACCTGAAAGACCCACCTTGACCTCTGGTACGACACCTACAGACTTGTAGGTTTTGTTTTCTCATTTGTGTAAGTAAATGTGTGAGTGCGTGTGAGTGCGTGTGTACATATACTATGCACATGTATGTGGAAGCCAGAGGTCAGCCTTTACTGTCATTTCTAAAAAGTTACTTAGTATAGATAGCCATGACTATCCTGGAGCTCACCATATAAACCAGGCTAGCCAGGCTCGCCTCAAACTCACAGACATGCATGCCTCCAGAATGCTGGGATTAAAGTATGTGCCATCATATTCAGCCACATCTGTTAACCCCATGACCTTGGCATTGATGATTACCCTCAGGTGGGCCCAGCTGCCCGTCATTCTGCCCACTGATCCCTGGTGAGCCTGGTCACACCTATCCTCTTTGCCTACCTCACTGCCTGCAGTTCCGCTCGCTGTCCATGGTTTCCGAGTGTCTGTTCTCTCTCATCAACGGGGACGACATGTTTGTGACGTTCGCAGCCATGCAGGCCCAGCAGGGCCGCAGTAGCCTGGTGTGGCTCTTCTCCCAGCTCTACCTCTACTCCTTCATCAGCCTCTTCATCTACATGGTGCTGAGTCTCTTCATCGCACTCATCACGGGCGCCTACGACACCATCAAGGTCGGCCACCTTTACCCTCCTCCTGGGAATCTGTTTTTCCCTCTCCCCTCCCCTGAACATTTTCAGCCCTGAGTTCCAAGGGCTGCCTGGCTTCACAGAGTTGTCCTGGGGTCACAGTAGGTGGAGCAGGGAAAACTCAGAGGCTTTGTGAAGTCCAAGGAGAGAGCGGGCTGGAACTGGGTTTGGGGTTAGTTGGAGTTGTTGGGGTCATTCTGAAAGAGAAGCCTAGGACACATCACAACTGCATTCAGCTGGATGGGCGGGAAAGGACAGGTTCCTGTCTCCTGCTGGGGGACAAAAAGATATATTTTATTTACTCTCTCTCTGTCTTTCTCTGTCTCTCTGTCTCTTTCTGTCTCTGTCTCTGTCTCTGTCTCTCTGTCTCTCTCTCTCTCTCTCTCTCTCTCTCTCTCTCTCTCTCTCTCTCTCTCTCTCTCTGTCTCTCTGTCCTCTGTGTGTGTGTGTGTGCGCGCACACACGCCTACGTACACACACATCTTGTTACATGTGTGGAGGTCAGAGAACAACCTGCTGGAACTGGTTCTCTCCTTTCACCACATGGGTCATAGACCTGAACTCAAGTGCCTCTACCTGCTGAGCCATCTCACTGGCCTTCCCCATATGATCTTTTTTAACCATTTACTTATTTGGAGGTAGGAGGGGGTTGTGCATCAGCACAGTGTGTTTGGAGATCGACTTTGTGGAAGTCAGTTCTCTCCTTCCACCATGTGAAGTCATCAGGTTTGGTGGAGGCATTTTCATTTACCCTCTGAGCCATCTCGCAGGCCTGTTAAGATCTTTCCTTGGAGGATGACCTTGAACTTCTGTCCTGCTTCCACCACCTGAGTGCTGGGCCTTTAGCTAGATGCTTACCACCCATCAAGTGTATGTGGTGCTGGGCATGGCACCCAGGGCTTCCCAAATGCTGTGCAGTCACCTCTCCAGCTGAGAAGCTTTTCCTACCCTAATACCCAACCACATCAGGTCCTTCTGCAACCTTTCACGCTTCCTTTATACCTGTCCATGCACTTACTACTCATATTCCTAATACCCAGCCACATCAGGTCCTTCTGCAACCTTCCACGCTCCCTTTATACCTGTCCATGCACTTACTACTCATATTCCTAATACCCAGCCACATCAGGTCCTTCTGCAACCTTCCACGCTCCCTTTATACCTGTCCATGCACTACTCATTTCCGCGCTAGCACTAGGTGAATGGTGACCACTTGACACCCAGTGTGCCCCACACTCCATAGGACAAGTTTGCTGAGTGAATCTCCCTGCCACCCCACAGAGTACTCTTGTCCTTCTCCCATTCAGCCTCCCACAGCCTGCAGGAAAACTACTTTTTCCTAGCACCCCGGAAGACACAGTAGCTAAACACACATACCCAGACAAAGCAAATACACATAAGTATCCAAAAGCCAGTGTGGCTAGGTGGCTGCTTAGAACATTCCCCTTGTCTCCTAAGAATTCTAGATTGGGAGATGGGAGCCCAAGGGAGAGGATGCTTATAGAGAGGAAGATCCAAAGACTTGGTAGCCAGAAAGGGCTTGGAAATAGTGGAAGTCATGGGAGGAAGATTTTCCTGGGACCATGCCTCATTCTGTGTCACTGGTAGGTAGCAGAGGTGTGCACTCTTTCCCCCATGGATGATCTATAGCCATCCCACAGGTATATTACTGTCACCCAGGCCCCAAACAGCCACCTGGAGTCTTGCTGGAGCACTCAGATATCACACGCATACAGCACCCTTGAATGTGCGAGTTCAGGCCTTATATCCACAGCTGTGAGTTATCTTGTTCCAACTCCAGAGATAGATTGCTAAATACCCAGTCTAGGCTCCTGGCCTGCGGCACAGGGCACTAACTAAACCAATAAACCTGAGAGACCCGTGGCCACATCCAGGGATGGGAAAGGTTTCTACAGTGAAGCAAGCCACAAGGTCCAGCAGTAAGACCCCAGGTAGTCACATCAGAGAAACAGTGGAATACCCACGCAGTTGACTGCACCTGAAGAGCTTGGAGGTCAGGACCAACTTTCATGCTGGGTTTTGGGGGATCATCTCTCCCCAGCACCCGGGAGGTACTGGCACAGAGAAGAGTGAGCTCCAGGCCTACATCGAACAATGCCAGGATAGTCCCACGTCTGGCAAGTTCCGTCGAGGAAGTGGCTCAGCTTGCAGCCTGCTCTGCTGCTGTGGGAGGTTGGTGCCCCACATCTGGGTCGTAGATTCTTACAGCCTAGGGTGTGTGGCAGAGAGATCCCTTCTTCCCACTTCCCTTCTCTTCCAGGGACTCCCCGGAGGACCATTCGCTGCTGGTGAACTGATTCCAAGATGATTGCCCCTAGACCGTATCCCCTGTTCTCCTGGCACCCCAGCTTATTTATTTTTAGAACTTGCTTTTAAAGATCTGCTTCTGACAGGCCTTGTGAGGGCTTGGGCTGGTCGAATCGGACACTGGGGAAGGGAGGGCATGTGGGGGGCTGTTAAATAAAAGGGAACATAAACGTGATGATCTAATTTGTGGCGGGAGGGCAGCGTTTTCACCAGCTCCTTTAAGAGGCTGCCACACTAGGCATGGCTGGCGCAGGGCGACCTTCCAAGCATGGCGGGAGGCGGAGCTGGGGCGGGCCCTGCAGTGGAATAATTTAAAGGTGCCGCGTCTGCGGCAGCGGACGGAAAACTAGGGGTGTTGGCCAACGCTGGGTGGACACTGGATGCAACTCCTGGGTGATCCGAGTTTCCATCGACTGAGCAAGGGTGTCCCTTCGAGGACCGTTAGCGAGCTTCAGCTTTGCCCCGGATCGATTTGTCCTCTGATTCCGGGTAGGTCCCGACTTTCCGATGCTCCCACCCCACCCCCATGCCTGAGTTCCTTGCCCCAGTGTTTCCGCTTCGGTAGCCAGGTGCATCCTGGAGTACGGAAGGGGAGTAGTCAGTCTAACAATTTTCCAGGTAACATCTCAGGGTTCTGTGATACCTCTAAATTCCAATTAATAGTCTAAGGTATCAAAAAGATCCCCAGCGTCCCCGAAGAGTCCCGGTAGCGTTCCGTCTTCCCTCAGTATCTTCCGGGAAGCTCAGGTGTCCTCCCAACACCTAGACTTTTCGTTAGCAGTTGTGTGTACCTCCGAATATCTCAGTAACTTTCCAATGCGCCGCCCCTCCTACCCTCCCCCAATTCCGGCGTCCCTGGTTACACCTCCTGCATCATTCCACTAATCCCAGGGATGCTCCGCACCGTAACTCTCCTGTTTCCTGACAGTTAAACCTGCAAGCTTAAACCTGTAACACTTTGGGAGCTCATCCCACCCCGAGGGCCTCAGGGCCCCCTTTCCAAGAGTTCGGGGCAGTGTTGCTCCATGACCCAGCTCCCACATTCCTCGATGGGGCAGGCTTGGGGCAGGAGCCCAGAGTCCAGTTGTTGCCTCGGCTTACGGGTCCTGTTTTTTCCTGGAGCGGAACATAAAGTCTTTACCCGGTGTAGGAGAGCATCCAGTCTGAGGGTTGGTTAGTCAGGACTGGTCAGATCCTACGAAGAGCCAAGGCTAAGGAAGGAACCACTTTCGGAAGAGACCATGGCCTAAGGGCACCTGCCGGGGAGCTGTTGATGTGAGTGCCATTAGGTGCAGATGAGTGTGCTGGGGAGTCTGGTCGGTCTTTATGTATAAGTGAAGGGGGTCAGACAAGGAGCTGGGGGCTGGTCTCACCCCTAGATGCGGGCTGGGAGGTCAATTTGCCCCATCCCTCTGTCCAGCAGCACCCCCTCTAACTGCTCCCACCCCAACCCCGGCGAATGGAGAAGTCACCCAGGCCAAAGGTATCTAGGGGGCGTGGCTTGTGAGAAGAGATGGGGCGGGGGAAAGATCCTGTGTTCGGGGCTGGGTAGGCTTGATTGACGTCTTGCTCTGGTCCCTTCTGCTCCTCGATTTCCAGGACTGCAGGTTATCAGACCTGCTACCTAGTCAACAACCAATGGAGGCCCCACTGCAAACCGGAATGGTAAGGGTCGGGGAATTTGTGCACCGGACTACAACTCCCAGTGGGCTTTGCTGTGCGCCGCGCGATTCTCTCTTCGGGAACGATGTATGTGCAGGCGAAACTACGTTTCCCGGCATGCATCGCAGGACACCAAGACTCAAGGGAGAGTCCGTCGCTCCCCCCGTGGGGGGTGGGAAGGGAACCTGCATTAACCCATTCTGCAGATGGGCACACCGAGTCATGAACTGAATACGACCTCCTCCGGGGCCGAGGTGATTCGAAAGGCCCTGGAGGAGAGCTTGGCGAGACGGATATGCGGTGCCCAGCCTGTGCCGTTCGTCCCTCAGGTGCTGGGCGTGATGATCGGGGCCGGAGTGGCGGTGCTGGTCACCGCTGTGCTGATTCTCTTGGTGGTGCGGAGGCTGCGGGTGCAGAGTGAGGATTGAAGGGCCCCTCTGGGGGAAGGCAGTAGGGATGGAGAGGGAGCTGCAATACCCGGAGAGCCCAGGCGGCAGGGGTGGGGATTTGCTGGAGCCTGCCCGGAGCTCAGAGCCCCCTCCCTTCTCTCCCACCTATCCCCAGAAACTCCAGCCCCGGAGGGCCCCCGGTATCGGTTCCGGAAGCGGGACAAAGTGCTTTTCTATGGCCGGAAGATTATGCGGAAGGTGAGTTCCAGGACCTCCTGCTGGCCTGGCTGGCCACAGAAGCCCGGCCCTTTTCCTATTTACACTTACCAGTGGACACCTCTGCCTTTATTAAGGTCCCCTTGGACCTGCCCTTCCTCTTTCTCCAACTGACCTCACATTCTTAATTCTCCCAGGTATCACAGTCCACTTCTTCCCTGGTGGACACATCGGTCTCCACCACTTCCCGGCCCCGCATGAAGAAGAAGCTGAAGATGCTTAACATTGCCAAGAAGTAAGGCTGGCACTGGGTATCGTACCGAGTGCTGGGCAGGGGTCAACTCACACCTGTACCTCGGAGTTATTTAAACACATGGACTGGCAGCCGGGCGGTGGTGGCGCACGGCTTTAATCCCAGCACTCGGGAGGCAGAGACAGGCAGATCTCTGTGAGTTCGAGGCCGGCCTGGTCTACAGAGCGAGATCCAGGACAGGCTCCAAAACTACACAGAGAAACCCTGTCTCGAAAAAACAAAACAAAACAAAAAATATGGACTGTCTTGGAAATCTTTCCACATCAGAGGGACATCTCAGAGCTCTCACTTGGCTTGGTGTGGGCAAGCCTGTGGCTTGAGGTTTGTTTCAATAACGTTCGCCTGCCCCTGAAGCCTATCTGCCGTATATTTAGGTATCTACACCTGGTGACTTGCCATATTGGAGAGTTTATTCAAAGTGACTTATTGCAGTTATCTCAGATGTTTTCATGGCTAGCTAGAGGGGCTGTTTGACGATTCTCCAGGGGCATCACTCTATCCATACAGGAGAGCATCTCTCTTGAGTGTCTGTGTTGTTCCCCTGGGAGCTATCTTAAGGGGTGTATGTGTGTGTGTGTGTGTTGTTGTTGTTGTTGTTGTTGTTGTTGTTGTTGTTTGCTTGGGTTTGTTTTGTTTTTTGAGAAAAGGTCTCATTTAGTCCAAGCTGGCCTGGAACTTTCTATATAGTCAAGACTAGCATTGACTCATGGTTCTCCTTTGTGATGGGATTATAGGTGTGTGTCACCATGCCTGGCTTAATATGGTCCAGAGAATTAAGCTCAAGGAATTTTGTGTAGCCTACCAACTGAGCCACATCCCCATTCATTCATTCATTCATTCATTCATTCATTCATTTTTGCAGCAAGCATTCTGCCGCTGAGCTATATCCCTAGCCCCTACTTGACTTAAAGTTTATTTATTTACTATTCGTGTGTTTAATGTGGAGGTGCACATGTCATAGCATGTGTATGGCGATTGGTTTTCTCCTTCCACCATGGGAATCCCAGGATTGAGCTCAGGTTGTCAAGCTTGGCAGAAAGTGCCTTTACCCATGAGCCATCTTGCTAGCACTACTTATCTGTTTTATTGAGCTTATTTAATTTACTTTGTACACAATATCAGACTCAGAAACGTGGCCATGCTAGGCAAGCATTTCTACCAGTGAGCCACACTCAAGCCCTGTACTCTTTTTTTGAGACAAGGTGTTGCTAGGTTATCCAGGCTAGCCTTGAATTTTCTCTGTAGCCCAGGCGGGTCTTGAACGTGTGATCCTTCTGTCTCAGCCTCCTGAGTACCTGGAATGACAGGCCTGTGCCCATCATGTTTGCCTTCTTCCTGTGTGGGCCGGTGGGATGGCACAGTGGGTAAGGCACTTGCTGCTGAGTCTGAAGACATGAGCTCCACCCCTGGAACCCACGTGGGGGAAGGAGAAAACTGACTCCTGCCAGCTGTCTGTCCTCTAACCTACACAGACACAAGTGGATAAACAAACAAATACAAGTTAACATTTTTAAGAAAATAATTCCTTTGCATTAGAAATAGGACGGAGCTGGATGGTGGCGCACACCTGTAATTGAGCACTTGGGAGGCAGAGGCAGGCAGAGCTCTATGAGTTTGAGGTCAGCCTGGTTTACAGAGCGAGTTCCAGGACAGATAAGGCTGTTACACAGAGAAACCCTGTCTTGAAAAAGCAAAGCAAGGAAGGAAGGAAAGAAGGAAGGAAGGAAAAAACAAACATAGGAAGGTTGTCTTGGATGTTTGTCGGTGTCTTTGAGAAGGCTCTTTCAGGGATCTCTGTAAATGAGGAGATGGTTCTGGGATCTTCTTGCACCAGGAGGTCCACCTGAAGGTCTTTCTCAAGGGTGTATTTAACACCAGGGGCCATCCTTGAACTCAGTGATAAACCATGGAATTACAGAGCTTTCTATGATTGGGTAGAAGGGCTGTTTGTTTCTGGTTTGTTATGATCAGGCTGGGGAGGCGGCTCGTGTTGGTAGAGGACTTGCCTTGCAAGCTTCAGTATCCGTGTCTGATCCTCAGAACCCACATTAAACGGGGGGGCTGGGCATGGTAGCTCAGTTGTCATCTCCACACTGGGGAAGTGGACACAAGCGAATCCCTAGGTCTCGCTGACTGGCCAGCACAGCCTACTTGGTGAGCTCCACACCACTGAGAGACCCTGTCTCAAACAGGTGGATAGCATCTGAGGAGCAACAGCTGAGGTTGTCTTCACACACACACACACACACACACACACACACACACACACACACACACACAAGCCAAAGTGTATCTCTAGTGTTTCTGCACCATGAATTGTCTGTGGTAACCATATAATGGTAAGACACTACCCTGATGTCTTTGTGAGTTCAGGACGATTATCTCAGAACTGTGAGCCCGGGAAAGGCTTCAGATCTCCTTCATAGAAGAATTCTATCCGAGCCTGGTATGCTGTGGCGCACACCTGCTGTCTCTATACTCAGGAGGCAGAGGCAGGAAGATTGGGAGTTCAAGGTCAGCATTGACTATTAGCCAAGTTTGGAGCCAGCTTGAGCTAGATGAGACACTGTCTAAAACTACCAACAAGACAAAGAG